TTTCATCCATGTTGTATCATGCATGATTAGTTCATTTCTTTTAATTGTTGAATAGTATTTTAATTATGTGGATATACGACCTGTGTTTATCCATTCACCAACTGGTGAACATTCGAATGCTTTCCAGTTTGGGGCTATTATGAATAATGCTGCTATGAACATTTATATACAAGATTTTGTGGACCTATGTTTTCATTTCTCTTGAGTATACTCGTATGTCTAAGAGTGGAATTGCTGGCTTACATGGTAACTCCATTTTTAACATTTTGAGGAATGGTGAACTGTTTATCAGAGTGGCTGCAGAATTTTACATTTCCATCAGAAATTTTGAGGGTTCCAATTTCTCCACATCCTTGCCAACACTTATTATTATCTGTCTTGTTGAATATAACCATTCTAGTGGGTGTGAAATGTATCTCATTGTGGTTTGGATTTGCATTTCCCTGATGGCTAATGATGTTTAGCATCTTTCCATGTACTTATTGGCCAGTTTGTATTTCATCTTTGGAGAAATGTCTATGCAAATCATTTGCTCATTTTTCAGTTTGGTCCTTTGTCTTTTTATTATTGAGTTGTAAGAGTCCTTTATTTATTCTGGATACTAGACCCTTATCCAATATACAATTTCCAATTATTTTCTTCCCTCCCATGGGTTATCTTTTAACTTTCTGGTTGTTGTCCTTCAAAGTGCAAAAGTTTTCAATTGTGATGAAGTCCAGTTATCTATTTTTTTTTCTTTTGTTGCTTGTTGTTTTTGGTGTCATATCTAAAAAAAAAACCCCATTGTCTAATCCAAGGTCACAAAGATTACTCCTATATTTTCTTCTAAGTGTTTTACAGCTTTAGCTTCTATATTTAAGACTTTGATCCATTTTAAGTTAATGGTTATGTATGGTGTAAGGAAGGGGCCAAATTTCTATTTTTTTTCCATGTGGCTATCCAGTTGTCCCAGCTCTTTTTGTTAAAAAGACTGTTCTTTCTCCATTGATTGGTCTTAGGACTATTGTCAAAAGTCAATTGACCACAAATATATAGGTTTATTTCTGGACTCTCAATTGTATTCCATTGATTTATATATCTATCCTCATGCCAATATCACACTTTTGATTACTGTATCTTTGTGGTAAGTGTGAAATTAAGAAGTGTGGGTCATCCAACTTTGTTCTTTTTTTAAAAAAAATATTATTTTGTCTATTAGGGAGTCCTTTGCGGTTCCATTTGTGTTTTAGGGTCAGCTTATCAATTTCTGCAAAAAGTCAGTTGGGATTTTGATAGAGATTGCATTGAATCTATAGATAAATTTGGAAGAGTCTTAAGAGTAACTGACTCTTCCAATCCATGAACATACCATGTCTTTCTGTTTATGTAGATCTTCTTTAAATTATCTCAGCAATGATTAGTAGGTTTCAGTGTACAAGTCTTGTACTTTTTTTTGTTATATATATCCCAAATTACTTTATTGTATTTTTGACATTATAGTGAATTAGATTGTTTACTTAATTTCATTTTCAGGTTATTCATTGATAAGAATATACAGAAATATATAGAGAAATACAACTTATTTTTTGATATTCGTCTTGTATCTTGCAACCTTGCTGAACTTATTTTCTTAGTTCTAATAGCTTTTTAGTATATTAATTAGGATTTTCCACATTTAAGATCATGTTATCCACAAATAAAGACAGTATTATTTCTTCTTTTCTAATCCAAATGCCCCTAATTCATTTTGTTTGGCTCATTTTACTGGCTTCCAGTACAATATTAAATAGAAGTGACAAGAGAGGATGTCTTAACTTGTTCCCAATTTCAAGAGGAAAACATTTGGTTTTTCATCATATTATAAATTTTTCTTAGATGTTCTTCATCAAGTTAAGGACCTTGACTTCTATTGCTAGTTCACTGAGATTTTTTTTCTCTCATGAATGTGTAGTGGAGTTTGTCAAACCCCTTTCTCTACCTATTAACACCTATTATATAATCATGTACTTCTTGTTCTTTATTCAGTTGCTATGGTGTATTTCATTAATTTGTATATGTTGAATCACCCTTGCATTCCTGGGATAAATCCCACTTGATCATGGTGTATAAAATTTTTTAAATGTTGCTAGATTTGGTTTACTTATGTGTTGTAGAGAATTTTTGTATCTATATTCACAAGGGGTATTAGACTCTCATTTTCTTATAAATTTTTGAGATTTGTTTTGTGGCCTAATGTATGGTCTATCCTGGAAAATATTTCATGTGTACTTGAGAAGAATGTATATTCTACTGAAGTTGGGTGAACTGTTCTATAGATGCCTGTTAGGACTAGTTGGCTTATAGATGAAATGAGATTAGCCATTTGTTGATAACTTTTGAAGCTGAGTGATGGGTTCAAAGAAGTTTATTTTACTATTTTCTGTACTTCTGAATATGTTTGAAATTTTCTATATAAAAGATAAGAAATAATCCTCAAATTCTTACATGAAAAGAAAAGCTCACTAGGATTCAGCAAGGTATCCAAAAGCATAACTTGCATAAATCAAAGAATGAGGGAGATCTATATATCTTGATATGAAATGTTATCCAAAATACATTGTTAAAAAATTTTAAGTCAAGGTACAGAACAGTTTACACAGCACTCTTACTTTGTGTAAAACATGTACATGTATATGTACAAAGGGCACCAAAAATGTATACACATTTTAAGAAAGGAAAAAACTGTATTAAAATTGTAATACTCAATATATACCGATAACAAAAGATGAATACATGTCATGTGTACACATTTTTTTTTGCACCCCAGTTATATACTATTTCTGGATGGGAATATAAAAACTGACAGCAATGATTGTCAGGCTATGGAATTGTAAGTCTAAGAGAAATGAAAATTTGCTTTTCTATGTATACACTTTTTACCTTTTGAATTATTCTTAGCATCTAAAAATGGGTAAATGCAATTTATGAAGAAAAATTGTATAAGAATAGTTAATTAAAATTTTGAAGAAGTGCAATGAGGGAAGACCTACCCAACAAATATCAAAATGTATTACAAGTACTTGTAGTCATTAAAATAGTGTGATAACATCACATAAAAAGAATAAATTTTACGGATGTAGTGTTTGATGAAGGCATTTTTAAATTAGTGAAGAAAGAACTGATAGGGCCCACTGGCTGCCATTTGAGGAATCCTTATTTGACACTATGCACTACACCCAAAAGTAACTTCCAAAGCAATTAAAATGCATATGGTAAAAATAAAACCATGAAAGTAAAAGAATAAAATATAGTAGACTATTTTTATAATCTCTTGGAGGTGGTGAAGACATGCCTAGGCAGAAGACATAAATGAAAAGATTGATAAAAGATTGACTACATAAAGATAAAAAATCTTTGTAAGACAAAAAACATCATAAAGGAGTTAAAGTATACAAGTGACAGACTGAGAAAAATATTTAAAAGATAAATAACAATGTGCCAATATCTATAATGCATAAAGTCTTTCGAATATATAACCAAAAGATGACCATTTTAATAGAAAACTGGACAAAATTTATAAGCAGGCAATTTCGCAGAGGGTGTCACGTAAAAAGTCAACAAACATGAAACACTATGCAATTTTACTACTAACCAGGGAAATGCAAATGAAGGCAACATATAAATCTTTTGCTTATCAAATTAGAAAACTTTCTCAAGGTTTATAATATATATTGTTGTCAATGGTTGGGGAAAAGGGCACTGGTATACTCTAGGAGAGGGTATAACTTGATACAGAATTGTTAGAAGGCATTTTGGCAGTATCTAACAAAACTCCATGCTGTCTGTGTGTACAGCCTTTTGACCCCTGCTTGGCTACATAAGAATGGGCCTTGGGCCGGGAATGCTTCCCTGTTAGGAAATAAAGAGCCCACAGAGCCTTGTGTGAGAATATCTCCAGGCTTGCACCTTGTGTGAGAATATCTCCCTGTCTCATTCTCAATGAATGCTCCTTTGGTCTGCGTGAGCATGTGCATCAGTGGGCCTTAGGCATGCCCCTAGCCTTCAGTATTTCAGATCCCACAGGGGAGTGTTGGAATCCTTCTGCTGCAGCATGAGAGGGGTGCACATAGGCAAATTGCCCTGCATCAGCTGCTGGGGGAGACCTTCTTTGCCATGGGGTACTCATGCACATTGTTGGTGCTGATCTTGCTCTAATATGTCTCTTCTCTTTGTGAATAAAAGCATTGTTCCATCTAGTGTCTAACTGTGTTGTGTCTTCCTTGGTGACTCCAATGCCAAGATGCAATGGGCAGAGGTGTTTGGACTTCTATTCCTGGTGGCTGGCATAGTGACGGTATTTGCTATCCACCATGTAGTGTCAACTAGTGTGCAGTGTCCTGCTCAACACCACATGTATAATAGCGTCCTTTGTAACATCCTTGAGCTGCTGAGTTGACCCACCAACCATCTAGCTCCAAATTGATTGTGAAAAAATAACCCCTAATTTTTTAAAAACCATTCTTCATTGAGTATTCTGTTCTTTGCAGCATGAGCATTCTTATACCCTATATCAAGGGGCAGCAAGCATTCTCGGGAAAGGGCTGGTTAGTAAACGCTCTGGGCTTTGTGAGCCGTATCTGGATCTTTCACATATTCTTATCATTATTATTCCTTTCTTTACAACTCTTTAAGGATATAAAATCCTTCTACGTTCACAGGCTGTCCAAAAACAGACTATAAGCCAAATTTGGCTCACAGGCCATAGTTTGGTAATTCCTATATCATATAATTGGTGGGGAAAGTTTTAGAAGGATATGTATCAAAGTCTAAACAATGAGTATTTCAAAAGAGTATGGTAGGTTTAATGGGTGGCATTAAATTTGTTTTCTATATACTCATATTTAAACACATTTATAATCTGTAATTTATAATTTTTAAAAGATAATGCCCATTAGAAACAAGACTGAATTATGAGAGTTTTAAGAAACTCAAAACCCTCCAGACTCTTTCTTCTTACCCAACCTTACTTTTACTCAACTTACCAACAGTGTATCTTCAACTTCTCCATAAAGTAAAGGTCCCAGGATTCCAGATTCATACTGAATAGCTCCACGAGTTGTAAATGTTTCATCTGTGTATGCCAGAAATCGGACTTTTTTGTACTTCCTACCAATCTGCTGAGGACCATTGTTCAAATATAGACTTTTATAACTTCTATATGAAACACAAAAAGATGAGAGGTTGGAATGCAGAATTCTAGGTAGAGGACAGTTGGCTAAAATCCAACTCTAAAACAGCTGATATGACTTAATCTAGGAAAAGAGTGCAAAAAAATACAAGCATCCTTGATGCTTAGCTATTTTAGTTTCCAAACATATTAATGCCCTTGACATTTGATTCCATACTAGTACCTACCCTAAACATGACTTGAGGATTTGTTGTTTTGAATAACTAGAAATAATCTCTTGAGTATGGGGGAGAGATAGTAGCAAGAGTCAAAAAGTACTTACCTGTCACTGGGGGTGGGGACTGAGGGAGCATAGTCCCAGTCCTCCTCTTCAGCAGCAATATAGTGGACCCAAGTTTTAGGATGCTTTTTGGCAACGGAGCGGATTTGCATAAAGGGAGGAGAGTAGTCATCATCAAGCCTGACAATGTCCATGTTAGAGTCATAAAGTTCATCATCATAATCGTCTTCTTCAGCAATATTTTTCTTTCGTAGTTTGGGTTCCTCTGGGCAAGTGTCTACTTTGACATAAGCTTCCATACCATCTGGAGTCAGACAAACCAAACAATGTCAGATTCCTTCAAGACTTTCTTGCCTTAACTTCTATGACTTCCTTCTCTTTCGTTGGGCCTTCACGGCACTCTCTTAAGTGTTTCCTTCTCTACGGCAATACCCTTTCCTGTCACTCTTCTGTATGGATTACCTTCCCCATATCTGGTACTTGCTGGTTTCTTCCTGTGGTTTTGGCAGTCACCATTTTCCTTCTGCTTGACTCTCCTTCAATACATGTTTTACCTCCTTTCGAGACTCACTAATTTGCTGTTATAATACATATGACTATTTCCTTTCTGGAACTAGCTCTGAAACTATCACTCCCCAACTCACAAATTATAAGCAGGGAGACTTGAGGAACTTCATATCTTCAGCATTGGAAGCCTGGGTCAGACCAACTCCCTATCTCCACAGTTACTTAACGATTTCTGTATTTACTCCAGTGAAGTATGACACAAAACATTGATTTAATAACAGCTTGTCAGGAAAAATGTTAGGGTAGATATAAATGTCAAGACACATTCCAAGTTCATAAAAACACAAAGGAAAACATAAAATAGAAGAAACATGTTATGTATTTTAAGAGCACATCTGCCTGTGACGAGTTGTCAGCCCTATGGCAAGTCTATTCAACAATCTCAATCTCATCTTTATGCTTTATAAAACATGGGTAATAATCCCTACCCTGTCTATGCCATAGGGCTATTTTGAAGATCAGTACTAAAAGGAGGAGCTGTTTACTGGATGATGGGGAACAGGGCAGACTTCAGGAGCAGCAAACAACTAGCCTGGGTTCATGTGGCCTTAAACACAATTTATTCGAGATCTAAAAATGAAGGATTTTGTCTGAGGTCCAATAAAACAAAGCATTCTTCTGAAAAATGAGGATTAAAAACAGTGAAAACAAGTGGTCAGAAAGAATAAAACAAAACAAGACATGAAATAAACTCCTCTTAAATTGAATCAGGCTCAAACTAGATAATGACCAACCTGCATACGAGTAAAAGACCTATTCCTCTGTGCCTGTAGGATGAACTTCTTGTTACTCGCCCAGTATGAAACCCTTTGTCCCCCCATGTCTTGTGAAACATTTCATAAATATTATATAACAGGTGAGCAAAAGAGGTCCCTATTCTGCATCACTACAGAAGACTTGAAACAACGTCACTCATAGAACATGAGGGGAAAATAGTGGATGCATAGCAAGATCAAAGCTCTTTGCCAAGGCAACCAATGAACCTGAAGAGAGGGTTAATGCTAGAGATAAGGACTAACAGCTGCTGCTGAACATGGAAGGTTAGGCCTCTCTCATATTCTCCTCCAACAGCCCTCAAAGGCCACAACAGAGGAGAAGACAAAGAGGCTTGACAGATTGATTAAGAGCAGAATAAACACACAAGAAGAAAAATGGGAGTGAGACGATCATGCAGTATCAATTTCCACAGTCTGTAGCCACAAATGAGGTCACATTAACAATAATTTGAAACTAGAGATACCATTGTTCCAGTTTGCTTACACAGGACCTTTGACCCATTGCAAAATCCCCATCAAGTAGTCTCTTAAAACCTCCTGTGGGGCCTCAAATACACTCACCAACTCCCATACTGCTTCTCTTAATATTCATGACCCCCTGCCATGCTCTGAGTTTCCCGAATGGCTCTCATCTATCTCCCACCAGGTGTCTGCGGATTGCCTCCACATACACCAGTGTCTGGTGTACCATATTGAGCATTGCAATATCCTCTTGTATTTGCTAGTTATTGCTCTGGGAATCTCCACTGATATCCTGAAGCCCTTGTGGTTACAACCTAGGCAGTACAGTTTTATTCCATTTTCCTAAATTTCTCATAAAACATCTGTTTGGCTATGACCTGCCATCTCTCTCTCCACAGTATTAAAGCCTAGTTAATGGGATCAGGCTGGAAAACCAATAATATGCTGTTCCCCTCACTTTTGCCATCCCATTTATTTCTAAACCATCTCCCTTACTTCTATCGCAGGGATTTAACTAAAACTTCACCACTACTACTAATATTCAAGCCCTCTTATACTCAAGGTCAAATCTCTACTCTAAAAACTGGCAACTAGGGAATCTCAGTTGAGGTTTAACTAACATAATCCTATACTGCACAGTAGACAATGACTTACATTAAAAGGAGAGCTGGGTATTTATAATACTAGTTTTTAAGATCCACAGATATTACCATGTTGGTGGGAAGAGATGTGACAAAACAGTAGAAATTGGCCAAGGTCCATCAGGTGTGTCTGAGCAGTAAGGAAAGTTATTGGTGAGATCTCCAAGGAGGCTTCTCGGTGGTTCCTCACAAGAAATGTGTGACCTTCGAGGAAAATTGAGTGCACTTCAGGGGTGGTACCCATTCCAATCACATGCCAATATACCAATTTCTTGTGACATCCAATCAGACCTGTAATGTAGGGATAAGATAACTATGGTCAAGCAGTAGAGAATTTGAAATGGAAAACATTTCCTAGGATAGGATGAACAAATTGACCTTATAAACTTATTATCTTCACTTGGATAATTTTATTATCCAAACTCTCCAAGGAATGTGAGGTAATGTCAAACCAACAGGTCTTGGCAAAGTCACCAATGCCTGTCACATTGCTAAATCCAATTGCTATTTTTTAGTCTTCATCTGCACCTTCATTTTTCAGTTTTCATTTGTTCCTTCTTAAAATTCTCTCCTCTGTCGGCCTCTATGCCAACACTTCTCTGGGTGTTGTTCCCCTGTCGCTTAGACTGCTCCTTCTGTCTGATTTCCTGATCACTCCTTCTCTACTCATCCTTTAGATGATAGATCACCTCAGTGCTCAGATCTAGGCCTTATTCTCTTGTTAATCAGTATTTTCTCCCTGAAGAACATCATCCATTCTCATGGCGTTAATTATCATCCATATGCTGATAACTCTCCTGTTTCAGACATCTCCCATAACTCTAGACTCATACAATCAACTTCTCAATATCTTCTTCTGGATATTTCACAAGACCCACATGTCCAAAACCAAATCTGAGATCTTCATTACTTCATCGTCTTCCAGAGTTTCTTATTTCAGTGACTGGCACCATCCTGCATTCAGTTATGCAAGTGATGTTATGCTTGCCTCCAGTGTCACAACACCAGTGATGACACTGTAATTAATAACTAATATTTACTGAGCACTTGTCTTATGTCAAGCACTGTCCAAAGTATTTTACAAGTTTTAACTCGTTCAGTCCTCACAATAGCCCTATGAATATAGAAACTATTATCATCATCCTTCTCTTACAGGAGAGGAAATTCATGCCCAGGGAGGTTAATTAACTTGCTCAAATTTGAACCCAAGCAACCGTATGTTTAAATCTCACACTATTAACTACTAGGGCACAGCTGTCTCCTGTTTGAGCTCCTGACACTTTCAAATATATCTATTTTTTACCATCATCACTACCCCCACCATCTTAATCCAAGCTAGCTAGCTACTATGATCTCTTATCTGAACCACTGGAATAGCTCCTTTATTAGAGGTCTTCCCACATCTGTTCATACTCCTTTCCAAGCCTTTCACCCACAAGGAAAGTAGTGTGATACATTTGCATTTCAGATCTGAGTATAGTATCCTTCAGTCTGAAACTCTTCATTGGCTGCCATTCCATGTAGAATCAAGTCCAAATTCTCCAGTAAGGCCTAACAGCCCAGAATGGCTGAACTTTGATACCTCTCCAGTCTTAGCTCACGTCACCTCATTTCCCTATTCCTCATCTTGTTTCAAAGTTCAGTTTAAATGACCCTTCCTTAGGGAAGCCTTCTCTGATTCCCCAGTCTAGACCAGTCTCCTTTATTATATGCTTGCATAGAATGATGTAATTTTCCTTCAGAATAATTCTTGGTTTGTAATTTTCTATTTATTACTATGATTTGATTACTGTGTCTTCTCCCTATTCTGTTATCAGCTATGTGAGAGCAGGGGCTTAATGTTTGATAGTTAATTTCTTTTCTAATTCTAAAATCATGCATATTCATTATAGAATTATTGGAAAATAGAGAAAAGAGTTAAGAAGAAAATATCTTTCTTTGTCCTTCATTATTCTCTTGGGTTTCTGAATTTTCCAACTTCCTCTTTCTTGGTTTACTCTCTAGTTTTACTTTAGTACATCTTCAATGGCTTCTAAGGGCTACCATTTCTGAAAATGCCTTTATTCTTTCCCCAAAGCTCATTCATAGTTAGGCTACGAATTCTAGCTTGAAAGTAACTTTTCCCTTAGAACTTTTAAGGTATTGCTCCATTATATTGCCAGTGTAATTTTCGTGTCTTTGTATGTGACCGCTTTCTCCCAGGGGAAGCTTAAATATCATCTCTTTGTCCTCTGAAATTCCACAATCAGTTTTTTTAACATTTGCAATATATATATTTGTTTATTTTGGAGAACTTCAGACATACACAAGCAAAGACAGAACAGCAGAACAAGCACCCATGGACCTAATATTCATCACTCTGCTTTAATAATGATCAACATTTTGCCATTCTTAGTACAACTACCCCCTTCCACATTTTTTTCCCAGCAGTACTTTAAATCAAATCCCAGACATCATGTCATTTCAATACAAATTCTTTAGAATGCACCTTTGGCATTTAAAAACCATAACTATTGTGCTATTATCACAACAAAATTTTGTAATTTCTTAATTTAAGTTGTTTGATATGTGGTCCATATCCAGATATTCCTGATTATCTCAAAAATGTGTTCTATTTTATTTTATTTTATTATTTTTAAAAGTTTTTTTAATTGGGGAATTGGGGGGTGGGAACAGCGCTGGGGAATTGGGGGAAGGGGAACAGACTAGTTGCTGTCCTTTTGTTCTTCAGTCTAGTGGTGGAGGACGTTGCTTCACTGGCCCAAGTTGGCACCATCATTGCGCTCTTCCCGGGTGAGGCAGAGCAGTCGTCTGCTTCTGAACGGCCACTCACTGCAGCTGCTGGCTACACACGGTAGTCCATGGCAACCCACTGCAGCAGGGGCTGCAGCCCACGCTAGCGCCAGTGACTCATGGCAGCCCAGCTCCAGGTCGAGCTGTTGTTCAGCATCTTAGCTGTAGAGGGCAGTGTCACTGGCCCACATATGTGGGATCCGAACTGGGGCCCTCTGTCATCCCAAGCCAGCTCTTAACCAAGGCGCCACTCGGCCAGCCCTATTATTTTTTAAAATTAGTTTCAGGTGCCACAATCATAATTTTGTGTTGGGATCTTTTTTAAAATTTATCCTATTGGGGAATTTTAATATAAAGACTCAAATCTTTTCACTCTTAACACTTTCTTCTATCATTCCTTTGATTTAAAAAAATTGTTTTAAAATATATTCTCAATCTCTTTGTTTTACTTTCTGGGAGTTTTTCGCTATTCTACCTACCTTCTATTAAGTATTTTGACCATGATATTCCTAATTTTTGTGAGCACATTCTTGTTTTGATACTTTTTTTCACAGAATCCTAATATCACTTTATTAATGTAGTAGCTGAAATCTTTATGAAAATACTGATTAGAGTTTTTGACAAGTTCTCTCCTGTTCTAAGCATTTTTGCTTTTTCTTCTGGGAGCTGTGTGTACATGGGCGGCCTTCATTTGCAGGTAGCTGCAAGTGGAATCACCGATTGTACTTTAAGGTCCCCAAGGCACCAGAATCCAGTGGGCTTTCCTCTGGGATGCAGGACTATCTGAGGAGAACCGGAGAAAAGAGTTCTGGTAGTGAATACTGAAGGCCCTGAGGATTCTTGAACAGGAGTGTACATACCTGGCAGAGACCGGTTTACATAGCCATTGATTGTGTGCATTTCAGGCTGGGCCTGAGCAGATGGAGGGTCCGTAGCCTGTGTTGAGGACTCATTTGTTTCTGAGTGCCAACTTTTCCCTGATGAGAGAGGATGCACATGTAGGGTCAGCTAAGTGTCTGTCTCATAACTGACCCTCCCTTTCTCCTTCCCTCCCTCGTGTGGGGCAGAGACTTTTCACACCTGAAGTATTTTTGTCAGCACAGTCTGAATGGATGACTGCCTTCAAAGTCAGTAAGAGAGGAAGAAGGCAATTACAAAGCTCAGACATTTCTTGCTCACACTGATTATCTCTCCCTGTATTTGTCCATGACAGTAGGTAGAAAGGGATAATGACAAATGATAACTAGGAGAAGGGAGAATATTTAGTTTGCGTCATGAGGATGTTGTTTTATTCATTATTAGCTTATGTAGAAAGGAAGCAGATGGAATCATCACAGGAAAGAGCTGTCAGTTCCTGTCCCTGTCCTAATTGTTTATGCAGCGTGTAGTAATGAAAGCCCAAGAGCCCGAAAGCTTCCCAACCTCTTCGCTGAAATTAATAAGAATGAAAGCATTGTAAATATCATTATTGGGCAGCAGCTCCTTGAAGTTGCCCTTTGTGTGAAGGACTGGCAGCTAACGCTGAAACTTTCTGAAGCACCCAAACTTTTGGGGGAATTCTCATCAGTTCATTGATCTGTTCATCCCCTAATTTGTTCATTCATCCAAACATATTTACTGAGTGCTGGGCACTGATGACAGAGAGGAAGGCAGCTTCCGTCTTCAAAGTGCTTACAGTTTAGCCTGAGTAGACAGAGAAGCTGACAAGTATAATACAGAGTGAAGAGTGATGTCATAGAGATGAGAAGAGGACATTATAGGAGCAGAGAGGAGAAGAAGCCTCACTTTGCCTGAAGGGAAAAGACATGAGGCCAAAGAAGATAAATATTAAATAAAGCAGGCAATAATGATTTAATGTGCTAAGGAAGATATTCAAGATGTGGAAATGTATGCAGGCATCTAACCCTGACTATAAGGAGGAGAAGCTCCCTTGGTGTGAAGGTGGAAACAGGCTTCCTGGCAGAGGAAACAGCAGAAACAAAGGTCTGGATACAGAAAAAGCATGGCATGTTTGGGTGAAATACACACATGTTCAGTGTGGCTGGAGCCTGCACGGTGACCCAGGGAAAGGAGCGTGGTGGTCATCAGGAACTAGTTGTGCACCTCTTTGTGAACAAGTTTGTATTTTGCCATGAGGATTTTAAAGGCTGGAGTGGAAAGATCAGATTCGCGTTTCAGTAAGCTCCCTCTGGCTGCTATAGTAATAGTGGGGTTTCAGAGGACACAAAAAGATAAGGACCCTAGTCGGGAAAGAGATGATGAGGGCCTCAATTCAGAAGATGGCAATATAGGAGGATAAGGGGAGAAAAGATGATCATGTGGCTAGTTATGTGATGATTAGGAAGAGGAGGAGGAGGCAGAAGTACTAACACTTTTTTTTTAAAGATTTTTATTGGGGAACAGTGTGTTTTTCCAGGACCCATCAGCTCCGAGTCAAGTAGTTGTTTCAATCTAGTTGTGGAGGGTGCAGCTCAGTGGCCCATGTAGGGATCGAACCGGCAACCTTGGTGTTATGAGCACTGCTCCCTAACCGCCTGAGCCAACCGGCCACCCCAACACTTTTTTTTTAAAGGAGGGCAGTGTCACTGGCCCTCATATGTGGGATCCGAACCGGGGCCCTTGGGCATCCCAAGCCAGCTCTTAACCATCGCGCCACTCGGCCGGCCCCTGTCTGTCTGTCTGTTTGTTTGTTTGTTTGTTTTAATTCATTTTCATCCCCATCTCCTCCATTCCTGAGTAGTAATGTAGTTTATGATCTTTGTATAATCATTTCCTCTGGACAATAGCAGCCCTCATTCTCAAGTACCAGATTAAATTAATAAAATTGTTTCTTTCAAGAGCCCCAAATTCAGATTGCAGGTCACTCACCTTCATTAAACACAGCAAAAAGTAGTACAAATTCCCGCAAGGTCTGTGTCCGTTCTTCGGCCAGACTCCCTGAAAAAGAAGGGAGCATTTATCTTCTGTTGAAAATCCTTTCATAGGAAATTGACAGTAGGAGGAGACATTACTTCACCACTTGGAAGTAGCACAAATGTAGTCCCTGGTCCCTTGTGAACTTTACCATAACAGTATTTCTTTGGTGTCAGCTTTCTTATACCAGTGCTTCTAAAACTATTCGGGGTAAAGAACACTGTTTTAAATTTCAGATTTGTTGCAGACCACTTTTTAAAAATACTGTAAAAATGAATTACTATAAAAATTAAAAAGACATACAAAATGAAAACCCATATAATCATGTTTCATATATATGTATTGAGAGCAAATATACAAGAGAAAAAGGAAAATTAAAAAACCATACATACTGTTCATGGAAAATGTGCATATAGGCAATTAATATAAAGAAATTCTATTATGCTTTTAACATTTTTTATTCTGTAATTGTAAATAAACAAAAAGTTATGGGCAAGATAACTGTCCATATTAAATACCTATACTCTCATTTTAAATAAACACCATGTACACTAATATTTAAAGTTGTTATGTTAAAAATGATCTTGCTTTATGCTTTAACAGTTGAATTTGTCGGTTGTCTTTCTTAGCATTTTATTTCCTTATTTGATTGGAAAGTTTTCTTTGCAGGCTTATTTCAAGTAGGAAGATTTTGCTTATGATGTTCTCCTTTTCTCTCTCATACCCTTGATGCTTGGAAAGTAAAAGTTAGATTAGATGAAGAAAGTAACTCACCCTACACATTTAAAATACGGGTAAAGTTACCTGAAAACCTTTTAATTCTTATTTTTTAAATGATCAAATAGTGAAATTGACTTTTACTTTTGGTGACTAAGTCTATGGGTTTTAACACAGGTATAGATTAATGAAACCACCACCAATAGGATATAGAAAAGTTCCGATATCCCCCCAAACTCCCTCCTTCTATCCCCTTTATAGTCACATGTACAGTCACTACACACACACACACACACACACACACACACACACACACACACACGGTGCCAAAAAATGTATGTGCATTTTAAGAAAGAAAAACTATTAAAATTGTAGTAGTAAATATATACCAATAACAAAAGATGAATACAAATCACGTTTGACTTCTGCAATTATAAGAGGTGCTCAAAGTGGTTACCATCAGTGTCCAGACCCTTCTGATTGTGGTGAACTACTGCTTGAGCATCGTTGATCAAAGTGTACATTTGTATACCGGGGGTGCCAAAAACATGTATACACATGACTTGTATTCATTTTTTGTTATCAGTATATATTGAGTATTACAATTTATACAGCTTGTGTGTATATATATATATATATATGTATATATATATATATATATAAATGTGTATAGCCATACCCTTGGCAACCACCGATCTGTTCTCCATCAATATAAAGTTGTATTTTTAAGAATATCATATAAATGGAATCATACAATATATAACCTTTTGGGATTGGCTTTCTTACTCAGTATGATGCCTTTGAGATTCTTCCATTTTGTTGCATGTGTCAATACTTGATTCTTTTTTATTGCTGAGTAGCAGTTTGTGGTATGTATGTACCACAGTTGTTTTTTTCAATAAGTTTTTTTATTAAATTATTTTTTATTATGGAATACACATTTTTTAGAATTAGTTTCAGCTGTACAACACAGTGTAATAGTTATACTTTTTACCCCTCTAAATGACAACCCCCCTCCCCCAATCCGCTGCCCCATTTCCCCCCAATATCATACATATCTATTACAAATCCCTTGACTCCACACAGTTTGTTTAACCATTCACTTATTGAAGGACATTTAGGTTGTTTCCAGTTTTTGGCTATTACAAATAAAGCTGCCATGAATATTCATGTATAGGTTTTGTGTGAATGTTAGACTTTCATTTCTCTAGAATAATACTCAGGAATGGAAATGAAGTTTATGTTTAATTTGATAAGACCCTGCCTACAATTCTGACACCAATTTCAGTGTGTGTGTGTGTGTATTTTTCCCCAACACCAAGCAATTTTGAGACACCAGCTGGATGTCCTATAATTTAATTCATTTCTGACCCTATCTACCTGGAGATAGCATCAGATCTCACAGGTTACAGGCTCCATCCTACAAGACTGTCCCCCCACCACTTCAGATGCCAATCTCATGTCCAGGATGTCACCTGTGCTGTAGACCAATTGGCTATAGATCAGAGGTCCCAACAACTCCCTCCTTGGATTCCATTAATTTGCTAGACTGGCTCACAGAACTCACAAACACAGGTTACTTACTATTTATTGTAGATCACCAGTTTATTATAAAAGGATATAACAGGAAACTCGCGATGGAAGAGACGCACAGGGCCAGGTATGGGGGAAGGGCGGGGAACTTGGATGCCCTCTCCAGAGCACCTGCAGATATTCACCACCCGGAAGCTCCCCACACTCCATCCTTTCGGGCTTTCATGGAACTTCATTACATAGGCATAACTGATTAAATCACTGGCGATTGGCAACTGAATTCAGCCTCCAGCCCTCCTCCCCCTCCGTAAGGTCAGGCGAGTGGGACTGAAAGTTCCAGCCCTCTAATCACATGGTTGGCTCTGCGGCAACCAGCCTCCAACCTGAGGTGCTTTCCAAAAGCCACCTTATTATCATAATAAAATACACCTTGATCACTTTCATTAGAGGAAATTCCAAGGGTTTTATGAGCCCTGCCAGGAATGGGACGAAGATCAAATATATATCTTTTTAATTTTAAATCACAATATCACACTGCTAAACTGTTTTCCAGAGTGGTTTTACGATTGTGAATACCCACCAACAATGTATGAGACTTCCTGTTGCTCTGCACTCTTGCCTGCATACTTGACAATTTTTAAATTATTATTTTAGCTCTTCTAATAGGTATAGAGCAATATTTTACTGTGGTTTTAAAATGCATTTCTCTAATGGCTAATGACATTGAGCATTTTTTTCACATCCTCATTTGCCACTTGTATATCTTTCTTGGTGAAGTATCTATTCAAAATGTTCGCCCATTTAAAAAATTAGGTTGTTTGTATGGACAGAAAAGGGGCCACATGTTAAACCTGACAAGCTCAGGAGACTGAAAATAACCACATAGGATGGGGTGAACATAAAAATCCCTAACTAAGGTGGGCCATGATGGGAAGTCACATTCTTGGCCTGTAGCTTCCTTGACAAAGGTCAATCTTCACCTTAAGTGAGTGTATCTGTCTGTTGTCTTTTTGCATCTAAGATAACATACCCTTGGCAATATCAGAGTAACCTTTTCCCAGACCACCCAGGGGCACAACCCACCACACCAGAGCGGGAATCTACAAAATCCCTCATTGTTATCTTGTTCCCCAAATACTATCTCTATGTGCTGTAAAATGCTATTAACTATGCTGTACCCACTAATGTAGAAGAAGTGTGTGTCTCTCCATTTTACTTTTTGTCCAATCCCAGAGATTTCCCTGCTTTGCTTTCTCCCATCCCCTTAATCTACCACCAGTGGATGTCATGTAACCCTCCTCCTTTGATTCTAATGTATAAAGTAAGTAGCAAAACTGCCATTTTCTGGAGCATTTTCTCAATCCATTGAGACTTTGCTTCCTGGCAATTGTCGTCAGTTTGGCTCAAATAAACTCTTATAAGCTTTCTCTTAGGCTGCAAGGTTTTTTGTTGACATTTGTTTCTTGTCATTGAGATTTGAGATCACATTGTATAATCCGGATATAAGTTCCGTGTCAGATATGTGATTGGCAAATATTTTCACCCAGTCTGAAGCTTATCTTTTCATTCTTCTAACAGTGTTTTTCTTTTTTTAAAAGAAAACATTATTAATATTGATGAAGTCGAATTTATCATTGTTTTCTGTATGGATTGTGTTTTTGGTGTCTTCTCATAACCCTTCTAACCTCAGGTCATGAAGATTTTCTGCTATGTTTCCTAAAAGTTTTATGGTTTCACGTAGGTTCATCGGTTGTAATAAATGTCCCACCCTGGTGGGGAATGTTGATAGTGAGCGAGACTGTGCCTGTGTGTGGGCAGCTAGTATTTGGGAAATCTCTGTACTTTCTGCTCAGTTTTGCTGTGAACCTAAAACTGCTCTAAAAACTAAATGCTGTTTAAAAGGAAAAAAGTCTGGCTACCCTGTAGACCATGTGGCGAGAGCTCCAGCTATTTGAGTCTTCCAAGCCACTATGTCAAAATGTCCCCAAGTTTCATGAGAGACCCCCCAAAACCATGAGAAATTATAAATGATTGTCGTCATTTTAAGCCACACAATTGTGGCGCTATGCAGTATTATATCTTCCATATCTTTCCAGATTCATAACTGGACCAAAATAAAAGTCCAGTAACAATGATTTCACCACTAAAAATTAGGATTAAACTAAATTATGCAAAGTTTACTACCCTAGTTTAATTTATACTATTAAACTATAAATTAAAAGCAGATTAAAATTAAGGTGATTTTTTGAATAACAAGTTATCAGCATAAATAAATGCTTACTTTTCTCAGATTTTTATATGCTCCTGGGTTACAGATGACAAGCTAACCTCCCAAACTGGTCTCTACATCGCTGATCACACACTTGGATGTGTTTATCTCCATGGAGCTGTCAAGGAACCTAATACAACATTTGCAAAAGGCACTGCTAGGAAAGTCACAGGATATTCGAAGTAGAAAGTAGCAGTGTGTTGAGAAAAGAGACCTATTTCCAGAGTTTGGCTTTTCTTGACCATTAGAGTGCACTGTGTCCACATAGGATGGGTCTCTGTTCCTTCCAGAAACTGGATTATTCTCCTTTCCATGGACTCACGTCCATGATGCTAGGGAAAAGGAACCTCTTTCAGATGAAAGAACAGAAATGCTAGCTTTTATGAATAGACCCAGATGTTTGCATGCCTTGCTTATTTCCTCTCAATCCGACCCTTTCTCACGCTTACCTTCTCTACAAACCAGCAGGGCTCCAATGAGGCCTGAATTCAGGTCTTTCACCAGGTCCACATGAGAAAGATAGGAGTAGGTGAGACATGGTGGGTCAGAGGCCATCGGACCATTCTCTTTCAGGACCTGCCAGATGTAGGTATGACTTTCACCGGGAATGACTTTATCATCTTCCTTCTCCCTTTTGCTGGTCCCATCCTCATATTCAACACCTGCAGCAAGAATGGATAAAATTGTCCTTTTATGCCCATTGTCCACTCAGAGAAACATATCAAGGTTGCTGTCACCAGTAGATTCTACACAAGAAACAGCTTTTCTGCAACTTAATTTGCAGCAGCTATAAATGGGGAGAAACCTCATATATTCTGGAGTTTTAGTATTATTATAGACCGCTAACGTAAACAAGAGTGCTTCCCAATGAGACCTCCACATACTGACCAACTCATTGCTTCCATTTTTGCATATTTTAACCTATCAAGTCAATTCAACGTAACCAACATACACTGGGTATGTACTTTGTCCCAGACTCTTAAATAAGCCCTGGTGAGGGGCAGGGAAGGGAAAGATACAGAGATTTTTTAAAGTGTTTTTAGCTTGGTGCTCTCTGGAGGGGCAGATCACATCAGGGGCAGATATTTTCTGGCTGTCCTATCCTTAGTGGTGTCAAAACTGATCCCTGGATTAGCCTGGTACCGCTATTCTACATTGAGCACTATATGTGTTCATTGTTTTTTGTTTGTTTGTTTGTTTGTTTTAATGTGTTCATTGTTAATGAAGTGCTATTGCTTCTAGGTCATTTCAGTAGAGAGAAGTAGAAAATAATTAAAGGTATTGACCATAACACTTATGCTTCTATTGAAACATTTTTCTAGCAACTCACCATAGCTTCCTGGATTCACAATGGTCTCTGGAGTTCCAGAGCATTCTAAGCACTCAGGATGCTCTTCATTTATACCCCATCTTATCCACATCATCTGTACATCCGAGAGCGGGACCTCTCAAACAGAGCAGTGCAAATACCCCTGCATGGCCGCTGCTCTGCCCATACTTTTACTACAAGCTCTCAGCAGCCAAAGACCACACCCAAAGTGAAGGTGGGTGGTACCCACTACAAAGTCAGCCTCTCTGGGGTATAGGGGCACCCCTTTTAGTGGGTGCTAGGGACAATTGGCTTTATCCGGAATCAACAGAAGACCAACACCTATGCTTGGTAGAGCCTGGTGGACATTTAGAAAAACGTGAGTTGGCACCTGTGGATGGAGTGTGTGGTTCAGGCATCTATGTGACTGTGGGTCAATAGCAAATTCTAGATAGTGGATATGTTCGGATAGGGAGAGAGGGGATCATGGAGGGGTACAGAAGGGGCTTTGACTATATCTATAATATTTCATTTATTTAAATAAGTTAAGCAAAGATGGCCAAATGTTAAGTTTTGGCAAAGTGAGGTGATGGGTATATGCTTGTTTACTATATTATTTCTTACATCTTTATATGTTTGAAATATTTCATTAGAAAAAGAATACCCTTTTTCCTAATACTAAGGTTGGGAGAAGGCTATGGGGAGTTTGATGAGAGGCCAAGAATGTGTGAAACACCATAGTTTTTTTGGGGAGAGGAACAGTGAATGGGTTGGGAGAAAGGTAGCAGTAGGATGGCCAGGCAGTACCGAGGGACCATTTGAGGTGAGGTATTATGCACTTAGTGATACAACTCCATGTGGTTGTGTGATTTTTAATTCAATGATGGCTAGTGGCATAGGTGGATTACAGATTTAACCATGGTAGTAGTTTGGCCAAGTGAATAGAATGGTGATCAAGGAGGCCAGGAACTTGTGAGTGCATGCAAGGGCACCATGGTTGTGATGTGCCAGGCCATCTAAGCTGGGAAATGAGGGACGTGAAGACTTAAAGGGCAAGGTAGAAGGTGAAAAAATTGTAGGGTCAGTGGATGGTAGATCTCAATGAGAATGAAGAGTTGTTGGAGTGGGTAGTGAGAAAACGAGAGCTGGAAAAATAGGAGGTGATGCTCTGAATGGTGAAGGCTTGAACTTGAGATTCCAGGGGCTGCTGAAGTTGCTAATCACAAGGTCTATATTTCAATGAAGACAAAAGTGATTGTGAAGACAAGTGACATAGGTGGTGCTTGGGAAAAAGCATTGTGTGCAGCCCTTATAAAGTTTACATATCTATGAATGTATATTTCCTTTAGAAGAGTTCTGCCTCCATCAGTCTTATCTGAGCCTATACATGAGCCACCTGCGAATCTTCTAAGCAGAATGTGTTTTGTGTAATTTTCATCTTCTCTTATATGAGGAACAACACTGTTGGGATATTTGAGAGTTCAGGGAGTCTGCCTGTCTGCTTCCAATATGCCTTTTGAGTGAAGACATCCTAACGAGTGTACCAAATCACCAGAAATCCACTTCTGAAAGGAAGTCATTTTGTAGTTATCCCTTGAGCCAGTCAAAGCTTCCTCAAGTTCTTTTGGGCTTGAGATACACACTGAAAAGAGAAAAGTTGAGGAGGAATCGCATGGCTTCCCGTTGAGAAGACTGAATAACAAATTGCCCCAAGTGTAGTGGTATAAAATGACCACCATTTTATTATGCTCACTGATTCTGTGAGTTAAGAATTCAGACAGGGAACAGGCAGGATGGCTTCTCTGCTCCATGATGTCTAGGGCATCAGCTGGCATTCCTCAAACAGCTGAGAATGGAATCCTCTGGAGGCGCTTTCACTCACATGTCTAGTAGCTGGGCTGGAATCACTTGAAAAGTGGATTCATCTGGGACTGCCGACCTACACGTGGCATTTCTGTTTGGCTTGAGCTTCCTCACAGCATGGGGACCTTGGGGAGTCAGGCTTCCTGCAGGGCATCTCAGGACTCCAAGAGTGAATGTTCCCACACCCAAGGCAGAAGCAGCATGCTCTTTTATGACTCAGCCTCAGAAGTCACATAGCATCACTTCTGCCATACACTATTGGCCAAAGCAGTTCAAAGCCCAGTGTGGATTAATAGGAAAAAACTACAGATTCCAGCTTTTGATGGGAGGCGTGGCAAGGAACCTACTACTATGTTTTAAAACCACCACACCAGGGCTTTGTGAGAATGAGCAACCAGGTGTTTTGAAGTTGACAGGTATCTCAGCAAGCAATGTGCTCTCAGTGACCAAGACTGCTGGGGTACACAAAGACCTTGTGGTTGGGTCAAGGGACTGTGGGAACCTCTTTGGTCTCCACTTTCCACCCCAAACCCGAATCCTTTTGTGTCCCCTGATGTCTGTCTATGGCCTTGTATCTGCACCCTCCGTCTGCTCAGCCTCTGTTGTACCATCTGTCCTAGGTAATCCTCTCTTCAACCTCCTATAGCTGGTGGGGCAGCCTTGCCACTGGCCTAGCCTAGGCCCCCAGAAGCTAGCCTGCTAAAACATCCCAAATTCCTGTGTGTCTGGTAGGACTTGAGACACACACACTGAATCCACAAGACAAGAATTTTTGTTGGTCTCAGTCATGGAGCGCCATAGCTCAGTGGCTGTGGGGCACAAGTGCTCCACCACAAGCCAAATGCTGTTCTTCAGCGGCTATGCCACCCCACTCTCTGATGCCCTCAGCTATGTATCCTTTGCCTGATCTCACTTTCAGTTGACACTTTTTTGGCTTGTGTGCCCCCACACCGTCTTTCAGATCGCCCTCAAAGTTTGGCAGCTCTGGCTCCTTGGACAGATACTTCATGTGCAGCATCTTGGCTTACATCATGTGCTTTTAGATTCTGTTAGCCAAAGCGAGTCATATGGCCAAGCCCATCATCAGTACGGGGAGGAATATACTCCTCCTACTCTAGGATAGGGGATAACTATTGGCTGAACAGTAATACATTTTACCAGAGTTGGCTTGGGAGAGAAAAACGACAGGCTTTCAAGGCCATAGAAATATAAAGCAAGTCAGTGGTTACCTGGGACTGGGGGTGGGAATGGGGCTTGAACTGCAAAGAGAGAAATTCTTAAAGTGACAGAAGTGTTCTGAAACGATTCTGTTGATGACTGCACAACTGTTTAAATTCATTAAAAGTCATCAAATTACCTTAAATGGGTGAATTTTGTGGTATGGAAATTATACCTCAATAAAGCTATTTTAAAATGTCGTGAGGGAACCACACAGAAAAATCAATTTGAGATGGATCACAAACCTAAATGTGAAAGGTAAAATAATAAAACTTCTGGAGGAAAAAGCATACAAGAAAGTCTTCATGGCTTTGGGACTGGCAAATATCTTAAACAGGACACAAAGCTCTAAAATAAAAGGAAAAATGTGACAAATTTTCATGCTTCATTAACTATTGAACTTCCATGCTTCATTAACTTTAAGAATGTCTGTTTACTATATATAGATAGATAGATAGATAGATAGATAGACAGACAGAGAGACAGAGAGCGAGAGAGAGACAGAGAGAGAAAATTCAAGCCACAGACTAGAAGATATGCAAATATTTATATCTGTCAAAGGATATGTATTCAGAATATATAAAGTATCTCTATAAATCAAGAAGAAAAAGACAACTCATTTTTTTAGTAGATCAGATGAATACTCGATCAGATACTTTAAAAAAGGACATCAGAAAGGTCAAGAAGCTTCTAGAATGATATTGAACATCATCATCACAGATTTAACTGACAACCTGGGGCTCCTGGACTAGTCTAAGGAGGCCAGGAACTTCTAGATCATAAAATATACACACAAAGGTCCGTGATAGGACCAGAAATTGCATGGGCATTAGGCCATCGTCTCACTGGGTTATTCCTGGGCAGAATTGCTGTGGATGCACGTGTGAGAGATTAGAAAGTCCATTTTCCCAGACCTGACCTGGCTTAGGGTGTGAAAGAGTCATCTCTACACTCAGCCTGTAGCTGCAAACTTGTGAGAAACCTGGTGTCCCTAAAACACCCCTAGATTTGTTCTGGAAGCTCCCAACTGGAGAAACCTCATGAAAGTAGCCAGCCAGGCTCCAGCCAGAACGTGGGGTGACTTTTCCTGTATGCCATTGGCCCCCTCCTGTCACTTTTCCTCAAGCCAGGTCTGCCCTGGCCTCACACGTGCAACTCAGACCATTAAGGCCTTCCAATTCCAGAATGAGAAATCAGTCAGCAAGTAAGCACAGTTAGGCTGAACAACATAGGGCATGTGCTCCAATAATTTATGAACAAGTTTCTTGAATCTTCTTGATCTCTATATGCCATAATCTCTCTAGATGATATCATAGTCAGTTGTGGCACTGTCTTTAATTCCTTCCTGCATTGTGAAGGTTAAGGAGAAGATTGATGAAGTGGAGACTGTGGCCAAACAGGCGGTTTGTTTGTTTGAATGGGATCAGCTTGTGCTTCTGCTAATTGGCTCTCATCACACGGTGGCATTCCTATTTAGGAATTGGGGGGAGGGGAAGAAGAAATATCTGGAAAGTCAGAATCTAAGGAAGGAGAAGGGGAATTCCATTTCACCTTCATACCATGAGGCTTGATCCTCCCTAGCAAGTTTTCTGGGCACAGGAAGGCAGATGGAGTGGAATTTTTAGGACCCAGGGCCTGGCTCCCCAAGGGAGAACAGAGGACCAAATCAAAACTTGGGGGATTAGACTCAAATGACAATGTTCTTAACTCCATGAAGTGGGCCTAGATTTGAAGGCTGACTCTACTAGTTACAAGACCTTGTACTCAATGCTCTTCTGTCCCTAGATGACAGGACAATAGGAGGGAATGTGACTCACCTTCAGAAGCTTTCCAGTAGGATACACCAACAGCATGAAGACTGACAGCATGAGAAGCCATGTTCTTTAGTGTAATGACCACTGTGTCGTAAACCTCAGCCCGGATGGTAGGACCCAGCAGACCTGCAGGAATGAGATGTTCTGCAAAGGTCACTGGGAGAGTGGCACACCCAGAAACCCGTTTTTATGAAAGCAATGGTCTAAGCCACAGTATAGAAGCATATCCCTGTGATTATTGTTGAAAAGTGGTAGTTCAATGAATGAATGTATAAATTGCTATCACCAGCTCAACTGCTGTTCTGAGGACAGAGTGCTGGCAATTCATTCCATGCATTCATTCATTCAGCTAATACTAGTTGAGTTCCTACTATATTCTAGGAACTGTCCTAGGCAGTGGAGGTGCAGTAGTGAACAAGACAGATCATGGAGATCACATTCTGGGGAGACATTAAGTGCATAATGAAACAAACAGGAAAATTTCAGGTGGTTACAAATGCTATACAAGATGGTGGTGTCCTAGAAAATGACAAGGCAGGAGGTCGAGCAAACTTTAAATAGAGTGGTCAGGAAGGGCCTCTCCGAGGAGGGGGCATTTGAGCAGAGAACGAACTAATGAAAAAAAAAAGCAAGATTTGCAAAGATCTGGTGGAAGAGCTTTCAAAACAGATGCAACAAATGCACTAGTCCTGAGACAAGAATAAGCTTGGCCTAGTTGAATAACATGTGGTTGAAACAGTGAATGAGCAAGGGAGTAATAGAAAATATGGGTATAGAGGTAGGCAGGGAACATAACAGGTAGGAGTTTGGAGGCCACAGAGGCTGGGATGAGTTTGGAGTTTACAAGAAGTAAGTAGACTTGGGATTTGTTCTGTAGGAAGAGTCAAGAAGACTTGCTCTTCTTGAATGTGTGTGTGTGTGTGTGTGTGTGTGTGTGTGTGAGA